TGGGCTCCCAGGTCACTGGGCCTTTGCAATCAGCCAGTGGCACTGGGGATAGCCTGGTGGAGGCAGACCCCCCTCCACATTTAATACAAAGCACACGTGGGCCCTGACCATACGTATGGTGGCCACGGATGAGCTCCAACGACCAGCCGGCGCCACCAGGCACAGTCGGGCCCCAGGCCCCAGCAGGGACCGCATCGCCAAAAGACGGGTCGCACTCACCCCAGTTGAAACAGACATGTTTATCCCGGGTCGTTCGCAGCGTCTATGGCGCGATTCTTCGAGACTCGAGTGCGCTTCCCGTAATCCGCCAACCTAGTTTCCCGTGCATCCCCGAACGGTCTGTACGTTCAGTTTTTTCAGACATGTTACATATTCAGCCAGAACGTCCAGCTCGCTGCTCGTTCTTCGAAGTCGCTTCCTGTCATGTGCCTGCCGCATGTCGGACATCCCCGTCGGCGCCCGCTCACGTCAGAAGCATGTTGGATGCCCTCCACCGCGCTCGAATTGTGACGTATCAGAATCCGCCAGCCGCGTGTTGGATAATCCTTCTGGGGGCCTGCAAATGTGAAACAAAACACTCGCCACATGCACGCGCGCCAGACGCACATTGGCTTACGCATTCTCCCTCTGCCGCCTTGTATAGTGGCGTCATGGCAATAGCAGGACGTCTGTTCTTCGCCGTTGCGGTCCTCGGCGATTGTCCGAATTCTTGAGAAACCCACGAGCACAACTCATTTGTTTTGACATGTCCTTCATACGTGCTCTTTGCCATGGCAGGGTTTTGTTTTCGATGTTGCGCTGTGTGGTGTTTCGTGTGTTCCTTCCCTGTGATGTGCCAGGCCGTACTGTGGTATGGCATGCTGTCATATGGTGCTTATGTGGTGATTCTGCAGTCGACGCTTTTTCCAGACTTCCTCTCCTCCTCCTCCTCCCCCGCCTCCTCCTCCGCCGCCTTCTCATGTTGCTGCTCCTCACATGTCCCCCTCGTTTTCCTTCTCTGTCCTGCTCTGCTCCATCCCTTCTTTGATAACTAACTCCTCCGTGTCGGGCGTTTCGCTTGATATTTCCTCACCGCTATAGTGATCCTTAAACCTACATGTGTATTTCTTCACGGATGGAGGACGGGTTGTTTTCAACATGTGGGTCTCGCCTTAGCGCCGCGCGCACTCGTCTTACAGTCCGCAAGTGTTTCACGGATGGACAACGGCTCGATTTCAGAGTGTCGGAGAAAAGCACATATGCATGAATACCTTTTCTGGCCGCAAAGGGCCTGTGTTCGCGGCAATCTACTTACCCGCTCCCGCCGGCGATGCCAGGGCACTGGGGGCAACATCGGTGTATATCCCAAACCCCATCAGGACACGACCATGCGTATACACCGAAAAGTGTATACTCCAATCACGCCAGACTGGTGTATACACTCGACCCGGGAAATAATGAGTTTCGGCTTTCACCGGAATAGTATACACCAATAGTTTGGGCTGGGTTTCGCCGCTGGGGGCGGGGGCGGCTGGGGTCCGCCGAATTCGTTTCATTCCTGGTGGGCGAGTCACAACGAGCTTGCATATGTGCGTCTGTGCGCACGCAGCCACCCGCATGCACTCACGCGGCGCGGGGAAGACGATGATGTTGCCAAATTCCGTCGAAGCAGGAAGGATGTATCTGTATAGTTGTTGTCTTCCCACCGTGTGGATTTCAAATTATCGCCGCGCGCATTCATTTCAAAAGTTTGCAAGAGCTTTGCCGTTGGAGGGCGGTACCTTTCAAAATGTGGTTCTCGCTGTCGCCCCGCGCACATTCGTCTTCAGAGTTCACAGCAGTTTAAAGGATCTTTATGGTTGAGGTCCTAGAAACGGTGTTTTGGCACAATGTAGGAACTGCTAGGTCGCAGCGGTTAAGTTGATTCGCGGTGGCGAAGTCCCACGCATGGCATTCTGGCGCGATTCAGGATCGCCAGGGCGCAAGAGGAATGTTGATTCGCGGCTTTGAAGTCTCAGGGCTGGTGTTCTGGCACGGTTCAGGATCTCCAGACGGTTGTCTTTCAACGGGGCACTAAATCAAACCTTTGTGGAGAGCTGTGAAGAGGGAACTTGGAGGGAGGGTCTATTTGAATATCGTTGATGGGTCTTGGGTTACATTGGTCTTCCTCCCTTCTGTCCCTGCTCCTCCGCATCTTTCTTCATCCTCCTGCTCCCTCTCCTGCCTCCTACTTCTCCTCTCCTGCTCCCTCCTCCCCTTCTCCCCCCTGCCTCCTGCTACTTCTCAGCCTCCTTTTGTTCTGAGGTGGCCGTGCGGTGCGTCGCTCCAGCCGCCCGCTCCTCGCTTCGCGGCTGCCGCACCGCGCGTGCACACGTGCAGACACCCGCCAGATGCACGCGTGCCAGACATGTTGGATGTCTCCGTCTGCGCACGTATTCTTACGTGCGGGGAATCCGCTGGCCGTACCCTGGTTGCCCCCCATCTGGGAAGCCTGCGTGAAAGCACGTGCCAAAATCACGCGTGCCGAACGCATGTTGGACTACCTCCCCTCAGGGCGCGTGGCTCTCGCATGTGGGAAGAGACCGCCGGCCGCATGTTGGGTACCCTCCCTTGGGGGCCACGCAGGTGAAAACGCGTGCCTCACATACGCTTGCCAGACGCATGTTGGATACCCCCCTTGGGTTGTTTCTTGTTGGAGGAACCCGCTGGTCGCATGTTGGATACTTCCCCGAAGGCCCTGAGGGCCTACACACGTGAAGGCACGTGCCACACGCGCGCGTGCCAGACGCATGTCGTATACCTTTCTGAGCGATTTTCTGTCTACTTGTCAAGCATCGCCGGCCGTATATGGGGTACTTACCCTGAGAGCTTACACGCGTGAACACATGTGCCAAGCGCACGCGTGCTAGGCGTATGTTGGATTCCCCCGTCAACGCGATGTTCTTAGTGAGAAGAACTGGACAACATGTAGGATATCTCTCCTGAGTGCCAAGGCGAGTGGACACACGTGCCAAATGCATGCGTGCCAGCCGTATGTTGGATACCCCCTCTCCGCACACGTATTTTTCGTGCGAAGAGTAAATCGGCAGCACGTTTTGCTACCCCCGAGGGCCTGCACACGTGAGAGCACGTGCCAAAAACACGCGTGCCGAACCCATGCGGTATCCCCCACCCTCCGCGTACGTATTTTCACGGGTGGAGCATCCGCCGGCCGCGTGCTAGATGCCCTCGTGGCGCCCTGACGTCTACGCGCGTGGCAGCACGTGCTACACGCATGCATGCCCGACGCCTCTTCGATACCCCTTCATCTCCAAGCGCGCACTTCACCCGGAGAAGAATCCAAGGTCTGCTGCTCGACACCCCTCTGGTCTGGGGCCACATGCTCGATTGAGAAAGAGGACCCTGAACCCACGCCCCTACCAGGAAGACAAGCCGCAGGAGGCACCTCTCTGGTTGAGGGTTCTGGGGCCTGGCGGTTCGAAGCACATCGAGTCGTCTGAGGGTTGGGTCCTCCGCTTAGTCGGAATTTTTGGATCCCTTCACTGGGCAGGCTTTTCATCGTGACCAGTTTTTGTGATGGTCCTAGGCCCCAGAAGCGGATCCCAGAGGTTGAATCAGCGGCGCGAATGTGGTACGATTTCATTGGCCAGGTCGTCTTCCTCACCACTCCTCTTACCCTTCTTCTCCCCTTCTATTCAAGAGGCTTGCGCTATTCCGCCGACCCCCAGGCAAGGCGGGGAGTTCACGGTTGAGGCGTCGTTGGCTTCTCGGGCATTATCTGCGGACTCTTGTGTTCGTCCTGGGAGCTGTTTGGGGGCCTTCTGGAGCCTCTTGGAGACAGTTTTGAAGCGTCTTGGGGGCCGTTTGGGGCCTCTTTTGGGCCTCTTGGGGCCTATTGGGGGTGGGCCGCTCGGGGGCTTCTTGGGCCTTCGGGGGGCCTCTTCAGACTGAAAGATCGGATTTTCGGTTCGTGTTCTCTTTCTTGGCCTCTCTCGGGGCCTTCTTTAGGCGATCTCTGGCCGTTTTAGGCTCCTTTGTGGGCCGTCTTGGAACACTCTTGGGCTGTCCTGGGGCCCTCGTAGGGTCCTCTTGGGCAGTTTTGGGGCGGTTCACCAGCCTCTTGGACCGTTTTGGAGCGTTCGAAGCTCGAGAAGACGATAACCCCAGGGACAAGGACAAACCTCAGGAAACCATGATTTCTTGCCTCTCTGGGCCCTCTGGGAAGGCTCTTGGGTCTCTCTTGGCACGTCTCGAATGCGTCTTAGGGCGTCTTGTAGCCTCGTAGGCGTTTTGAGCCATTCGTTGGGTGATTCCGGACCGTCTTGGAACGTCTTCGAGGCCACGGACGGCAGATTTGGAAGCTCCAGACTCTTCAGGGGCGCGCCAGGGAGCCTGGACACCCACCCTGGGAGCCCAGATTCCCCCCCCCCCCCCCCTTGAACGAGATTTTGGACCCTGAGGGGAGGGGGCAAGGGGGAGAGGGACAGCCAATCATCTCACACGCCTTCTCGCCCCCGGCAAGCGGGTGTCCGGGGCCGCCGCTGCGACACGCCACGCAAAAGTTCCTGACCGTACGGGGGCGGGATAATTAGGCTCCGCGGGGGTGCATCGTCCAGCATGTCGCCTGGACGATCACTTATAAAGATACTCACTTGCAAAGTTTGGTGAGCCATGGTACGCCGCTGCTCGAGACCGCAGGAAATGGCGTGCGCAGGCCGAGGGCTACTCGCAAGACTTCTAAGGTTCATTCTGCATGCGAACTTTCCATCGCCCACACGAATTTCTAGTTCTCTGCCCACGTCCGCTTGCGGACCGATTCGATTCGACCGGGCCTTGCTTGCTTGCTTGCTTGCAGGGTTGCATCGGACCCCAGTCGCCCGTTGATCGCCAATAGGGGCTCGATAGCCCCACTCCGCCCAGCAACGCGCGGATCCGCCAACGGGAGCCTATCGCCGATCTGTGGGCGATGCACCTTCGATTCCAGCTCGATGCTTCCCCCCCTGAGCTGGTCCCCCAACCAGGTGAACCCGCTTTTGGACCCGCCGGAGAGCGGGGAGAATGCCAGCGGCATCTGTGGCGGGCCTAGGGCTCCTGGGCGGGCGAGAAGGGGCTCGAGGTTCGAAGTGTTCGGATGCCTTCGGTGGTTCTTGGCGGAGTTCCAGCCGCTAGCCTTCTGTCGGGCGTGTCCCCCTACAGGGGGATTTTCAACGAAAAGTAAAAGATAAATACCCCCCAAAAACTCCAAAAAGGTCAAAGAACTACTAAAAAAATAGTCCCAAGACTACTTTGGGACAATTTTTTGTTTGTTTTTGGGGTATTCTGTATCTTTCGTAGAAAATCCCACCGTAGGGGGACAGGCCCGACTTGAGGCTAGCCTCGGGACGCTCTCCGGCGGCCGCGCCTCGTCGAGAGCTCTCCCGGGGCTGCCCAGTGATGGCCCCGAGCCGCCGTCGGAGGCCCGAGACTGCCACCCGAAGGACACCCGACGTCGAGGGGGGGGGGGGCGAGGTGTGCGGCTGCGCTCCCCGTGCTGGGGCATGCCAGGGGGCGGGAGGGGGAGGGAAGGAGAGAGAGAGAGAGAGAGATGAGAGAGAGAGAGAGAGAGAGGAGAGAGAGAGAAGAGAGAGAGAGAGAGAGAGAGAAAGAGAGAGCGAGATGAGAGAAGAGAGAGAGAAAGAGAGAGAGAGAAGAGAGAGAGGAGAGAGAAGAGAGGGAAGGGAGGGATCGGGCCGGACGAAAGGGGGGGATCGGGAAAGGGGGGGTCACGAATTTGCTGCATGCAGCTGGTTTCGGCCCACCGAGGGGTCCATTCCTCGATGCATGGCCGCCTCCCGGCGCCGGGAGGCGCCGGGAAAATCAGCTACGTGAGCTGATTCTCACCCCCCCCCCCCTTTGCTATCCCCCCCTTTCGCCCGACCCGAAAGGAGAGGGAGAGAGAGTGAGAGAGAAAGGGAGATAGGGGGGTGTTTCCTCGGGAGTTCGTTGCTCGCTGCGTGCGTGGACAGGGTGGGTGGAGAGGGAGGGGTGGGGACCATCGATCCTTCCGGGAGGACGGGCGGGAGCGGGGACGGGGGCGTCGAGGACACGAAGACGCTGTTGGCGGCGCGCAGATGGGCGACGGGCCCCGTCTCAGTGGTAGCTCGACGCGCTCCGTCGCCGAGCGAGGCGGCGCTGGCTCTCCCCAATCCGTGGGTCTGGCGCCCGCGCACCAGGCCCAGGGATCCACACTCCGTGTTGGCGCGTGCCCGAGGGAGGGTCTTCTTTTCCTGCCGCCGCCGCCGCCTCCTCCTCCTCCTCCTCCTCCTCCTCCTCCTCCTCCTCCTCCTCCTCCTCCTCCCCCTCCTCCTCCTCCCCCCCTTCCTCCTCCCTCCCTCCTCCTCCCTCCTCCTCCTCCTCCTCCTCCTCCTCTCCTCCTCCTCTCCTCCTCCTCCGTCTCCTCCTCTATCTCCTCCTCCTCCTCCTCCTCCTCCTCCTCCTCCTCCTCCGTCTCCTCCGTCTCCTCCTTCTCCTCCTCCTCCTCCTCCTCCTTCTCTCCTTCTCCTCCTCCGTCTCCTTCTCCTCCGCTCCTCCTCTGTCCTCCTCCTCCTCCTCCTCCTCCTCTTTCCGTCCTCCTCTCGTGGTCGAAGAACAAATCCGTATCCACGGCCTCGCGGGCCAGGCCCCTGGGCCGCGACCCCGCGGACGCGGGCCGTTTTTCGCGGATGCTCCGCGCGGAGCGTGTCCGTGTGACTGCGTATCCGCTGGATCGCGCCCTGGAGTGCAAACCGGGAGGGCGTGGATATGGATATCATCGCCGCTCGTCCTTCTCATGCGTGCTTCCCGCAGGTCTGAATACGCCCGCCGTCCTTTCCCCTCGGCAGCGCTTCGGTCGGGCACAGCGGCGGCACGAGGGACCGCGCACCACTCCCCCCTCCCTCCTCCCACTCCTCGTCCTCCTTCTCCTCCTCTTCCCTCTCCCTCCAACGGGCCTCAGCCTCCTTCCTCCTCCTCCTCCTTTTCTCCTCCTTCCTCCTTCCTCCTCCTTCTCCTCTGCTTCCTCCTTCTCGTCCCCTTCCCTCCTCCCCGTCCCTCCAGCCTGCCTCTGCCTCCCCCTCCTACCTTCCCTCCCTCACTCGCCGTCCCTGCCTCCCGGAAACTCGATCCACCGAGGCCACGAGTGGAGGGCCGGCCGGTGCTTCCGCGAGAACTGCAAATTCCTCCACAAGTGAGCTGGCACTGGTGCCTGCGGCCTTCCGGGTCTCCCCCGCCTTCTGTGTCTCATCCTCTCTCGTCCTGATCCTCCTCTGGCTTTCTTCTCATCTTTCTTCTTCTCTTTCCTCCTCCCTCCCCCCCCACTCCTTCTCCTCCTCCTACGAGCCTCGGGCTCCTCCTCCTCCTCCTCCTGCTACGTCTTTCCTCCTCTTATCCCTCCTCCTCGCTCACCCACCCTCCCTCCTCGTCCTCCCTCCTCGACAGTCCCTCCCCACTTCCATTTCTCACCCGCCTCGTCGTCGTCGTCCTCCTCCCCCTCCTCCTCCTTTTCCTCCTCCTCCTCCTCCTCCTCCTCCTCCTCCCCCTCCTCCTCCTCCTCCTCTTCCTTCTCTTTCTCTTCCTCCCCTCTCCCTTTTCTGCTCCTCCTCGGAGCCCTTTTCCTCCGGCTCCTCGTCTGTCGTCGTCTTCCTCTGCTTCCTCATTTCCCTCCTCTTGCCCTTTCGCATGCTCTTCCAATTGTTCTTCCTCCTCCACCTCCTCCCTTTCCTCCTCGTCCGCATCCTCTCTCTTTCCTCCTCCTCCTCTTCCCTTTCCTTGTCTGATGTACGACAGTTTTGTTTGATATTTGTCATACTCATATGTTTCTTCGTATCCGTCTTCCTAGTATTCGCCTTAGTCTTCTTCCTATTCAGCTTCTTCTCCATGTTCTCATTCAGATTCTTCATCGATCTTTCTTGGGCGTCGCCCTCATCGTATTCCTCGCCTGCTGCTGCCGCTCGTGCTCCTTCCTCTCGTGAGGAAAACATAAGAACAATCATGCTGCTGCTGATGATGATGATGATGATGCTGATGATGATGATGATGATGATGATGATGATGCTGATGTTGATGATGATGATGATGATGATGAGGAGGAGGATGATGATGATGATGAGGAGGAGGAGGACCAAAGCAACCACGCCGCCTCCTCCTCCTCCTCCTCCTCCTCCTCCTCCTCCTCTTCCTCCTCCTCTCTCTCCTCATCCCCCTTCCTCCGGCATCCGCCTACTCATTCATGTTCCCCATGCATGATTGTCCTTTCTCCTCCTCCTCCTCCTCCTCCTCCTCCTCCTCCTCCTCCTCACTCGTCGTCCCTCCCTCCCCCTCCTCCTACTTCCCCTCCTTCCTCTTCTCCTTCTCCATTCACTTCCAGATCGGCCTACTCCTTCTCCTCATTCTTCTCGTCCGCTTCCTACCTCTTTCTCCTCCTCGCAATCCTTACCATCCCTCCTCCTCCTCCTCCTCCTCCTCCTCCTCCTCATCCTCATCCTCATCCTCCTCCTCCCCCCTCCTCCTCTTCCTCCTTCTCCTCCTCTTCCTCCTCGCGCCTCCTCCTTTGCTCTGACTCCTCCTGCTGCTCGCGTTCCTCTCCCTCCTCGGAGGAGGACGAGTGAGAATATTAGGGACTGGAGGAGCTAAGAAGAGGAGGAGGAGAAGGAGGAGGAGGAGGAGGAGGAGGAGAAGGATGCGGAGGAGGAGGAGGAGGCGGAGGAGGAGGAGAAGGAGGAGGAGGAGGAGGAGGAGGAGGAGGAGGGGAGGAGGAAGGAGGAGGAGGAGGAGGAGGAGGAGGAGGAGGAGGAGGGTGAGGGGAGGAGCAGCAGGAGGAGGAGGAGGAGGAGGAGGAGGAAGAGGAGGAGGGAGGAGGAGGAGGAGGAGGAGGGAGGGAGGAGGAGGAGAAGGAGGAGAAGAAGGAGGAGGCGGAGGAGGAGGAGGAGGGGGAGGAGAGGAGAGGAGGAGGAGGAGGAGGAGGAGAGGAGGAGGAGGAGGAGGAGGAGGAGGAGGAGGAGGAGGAGGAGGAGGAGGAGGAGGAGGAGGAGGAGGAGGAGGGGAGAGGAGGAGGAGGAGGAGGAGGAGGAGGAGGAGGAGGAGGGGGAGGAGGGGGAGGAGGGGAGGAGGAATATGATGATGAGGAGGAGTGAGGATGAGGAGGGAGGTAGGGGAAGATGGGTGCGAGGAGGAGGAGGAGGAGCAGGAGGAGGAGGCGGAGGAGGAGAAGGGGGAGGACGAGGAGGAGGAGGACGAGGAGGAGGAGGAGGAGGAGGAGCAGCAGCAGCAGCAGCCTCATCAGGAAGCGGAGCGGGCGGCTTCTCACCTTACCCTCAGCGATACCTTGCCTCGTTCCTCCTGTTCCTCCTTCTCCTTCACCTCCTCCTCCTCCTCCTCATGTTCGCAGTCCTCCTATCCCTCCTCATCTCCCTCCTGTCTCCAGCCAGCTGCTGACGCGCTTCCCGATCCTCACACATAACGTCGACAGCTTGCAACCACTTCGCCTTCAAGAGCTGTCCATGGCCTACAGAATTGTCGCGAGTGGAGGTCTCAGGGGCACGTGCAGGCGACGCCCAGCAGCCTTCTCGACAGGCGACCCGAGACCAGCTCACATCCGCGAAACCACCATCTACCACACGGCCGTTCATTTTCCATGGCAACCCGGGGTTTGTACGGACAAGAGCGCGGGCTGCAGCATCATCCTGGGCGAGCGAGTGCGTGCCGCTGATATCTCGAACATCGAGGTCCCCCCCGCCGATCGTGGCGTGCCGAGGCGGCATGATCGACATCACCAAGGGCCCACTGGTTCTGCGCATCATGGTCGCGTACTTCGAACCTCGCCCACGCACAGCGCGCGCACGACCGATCTGGAGGAAAGGATGCCAGATACTTCGAGATTTGATTGGCCACCTACCCCGCCGTTGTGCTGACCGACGTGTCCCCACCACCCCCACGGACGCCAGCACGGGCATGGGCATGAACGGCAACACACACACATCAACGACACCTGCATTGGCCCATTCGGCAACGGCTCCGAGAACCAGAACGGCAAGGCTGTGTACGATATGCTTCACGTGCACGACACGGGCGCGCTCAAGATTCACCACAAGATCGGCGCCATCTTCATCGGCGACCACGGCGCGACCACGACCGACTACATCTTCGCCCCCGCTTCGCTGATGGCCGACGCCACATGCAGAATATGGATGGACTCCGCAAGAAAAGCGCGAAACAACATAGATTTTATCGACCACGTGCCGATCGTGGGTTATTTTCTCCTACCTTGCCCTGGACATGACAGCACGATCCGCTCATGCTGGAGTTGACATGCGATATGCAAATGCCTCCAGGATGGTGACCGCCGCGAGCCCTTCCTCCAAAACCTTCACGACAAGCCCCGGCAGTACCAGGCCGAGTTCGCAGAGGTGCGCACGGACCCATCCCCCGACCGCTACATGCACCCCTTCGTCGCCGTGACCAGGCAGGTCGTCTCAAGCATTTCTCCACAAGCCAGGAGCACCCAGACTGGTACAGACAAGCCATGAGGAGGAAGCTGGACTTGCTCAAGCAGCTCGGCGCCTCCAAGCGCTCGGCATTTCGTCGCGACGCCCCCGACGCAGCTGGCGACGAGATCAAGCGCATCACCAAGGTACTGCACAAACACCAGAAGTACATCAGGTCGAAGTAGGACAGTGACCTGGAGCCGCAGATTCGTGAAGGCTGGGCTCAGCGGCAACTCGCAGACGTGCGCAGCGCAGCGCGACGACGCGCACATCGTGGCATCGGAGTTCGTAAACAAGACTTCCGTTCACTGCCATCCTGTCAGCCGTCGGCTGACGAGTGGATCACTGCACTACAGGCACCTGGATGCGACAGGGCTTCTACGCGACCGAGCTCGACGAGATCTACCTGGTGACGCTGCTGGCCCCGCCGGCAACCAACTACGGCGAACGCAGCCAACTGCCACCTCGACCTGACGGGCCCGCTGCGCACATCAGCGCACAGGACAGCGACGAGGACTTCAACACCACGCGCAGGCACTTGTGGATGATGAAGAGGCGGAAGTTCTCATCGTGCGGGAGCTTACCCACCGAGATTTCCCATATCATCACCAGCCACTCTTACCTCAGCATACCTGCCGCGCAAACCGCTGGCCTGGGCCCGTTCCAGGCTTTCGACCCCGTGGACTTCGGGAAGCCCATCGATCCCTCCAAGCGCAAGCTCCCCCCCGCCCTTGTCATGAAGCCCGCTTAGCTGCTGACCGAGGTCCAAGAGCTGGCGCGCGCCACCGAGCGGGCGCCGGGACAGGCGAACATGAGCCAGGCCCCGCAGGAATACGGCTACCCCACTGCATCTACCCATGGTGGCGGCGGGGCTTCTACCGACGCGCTGTCAACGCGGAGGGTGGCCTCTGTGCCCCACCTGAGTGGGCACGCGGCGGCATTCATGTGTAAACGACGGCGAGGAGCTACGATGAGTTTCTTTTCGCGGGTTGTGGCATCCAGAAACCGATCCTGCAAATCGACAGTGGTTGCGGGATCATACGATCAACGATCGGCATTCCAGTGCGGCAAGCACGATGACCTCCGCCTTATCGCGGGCGATCGTTCCTCGTACTACTACGCGCAGGATGGCGAGCCAGACGAGCTCAATTCGCGCGCCCGTACTAACATCGAGTTCCTCAACCAGCGCCGTGCCGAGGCCGTCGTGAGAGTGGCCACCCCTCAGCGTTGGCTATACCTTCGAGCTGGCAGCGGTGGCCTCATGGGCGACGGCAACGAGCCCGAAGCCTTCTTGGCGAGCTTCTACGCCAGCGCAGAACTCGCCCGCTCGATCTCCAAGTGCACCCTCGCGAACTGCGACATGTTTGGCGACGCCGTCGACGTCGGCATCGGCGTCTTCATCGACGACCACCTGAAGCTCCTGGCCATCCCTTCTGAGGCTACCTCCGACGAGATCCGCAGCGCCAGCAACCTCGATGCCGAGTGCCTCGGCGAGAGTGGCGGCGCCTCGGAGTGCAGGCAGAATCGCAACGAGGCCGAGATCTTCGTAGCTGCGTCGCGCCGAGGCATTGCCCGCGCGCTGCCGCAGGGCTCCACCTGGATAGTGCGACTTCTGCCCGAATTCAAGCACCTCGGCGGCGCGACATCAACGCGCTGCTCGCGCTGGACCTGGCCACCGACTTACGATATGAATGGCGACCTCGAAGCATGCGACGACCATTCGAAGATGAAGAACTACAGTGACGTGTGCACCGCATCGGACCCACGCGCTCTACGTGCCAGTTTCT